AACTGATTGTTGGGCATTCCTGCAGAGATTATTATAGAGCAGACTAGCAGAGTTATTTAGGAACCGGCTGGCTAGCAGGGATTCTTGAGGAAAGTAAAGGCTAGCAAGGGGAAGACAGGCTAGCAGAGATTATTTAGGAGAGGTAGGCTAGCAGGAGTTATTTAGGAAAAGCAACGGTTAGCAGAGATTTCTTAGGAAAAGGCATGCTAGCAGCAATTCTTTAGGAAAAGCAGAGGCTAACAGGGGTTAATTGGGAATGGGCAGGCTAGCAAAAAATAACTAGGAAAGGCAAGATAGCCAAGATTCTTTAGGAAAAGCACAGGCTGCCAGACATTCCTAAACACATCCGCCCCCCTCATTTCATCCCCCAATCCCACCGTAACCCCCACCCCATCACCACGCTACCGTATCCAATTTCATTCGGAGGCCGAGAGAGAGAGAGAGAGAGAGAGAGAGAGAGAGAGAGAGGGTGAGAGAGACAGAGAGAGAGACCCCAGTAAGGAGATGGCCCTTTCAATGGGCCCTCCAGCTGAATATTCAATGTCCCAAGGCAGGGGGCCCTCGCCTGTGAAATCCAATAGATTCTGGGCCCAAAAATGAGTGCGGGGGCCAACTTTTGGGACTAAAGGGACTCGGAAGCGTTAATCTACGAAAAATAGTTAATAAAAAAAAATGATATTTAGGCAACTTCCGGAACCCGTTCGCCCTCGGCAACCAAATCCCGTTCCTTTCCGTTCTACAACAAAATCCGCTCCATCTACAGCAGCAGGTTCGTGGAAAAAGATAAAGATTGGCTTAGGATTAGGTCTAGGATTAGACATAAGTTTCGCTTTAAACCTAAACCTTAATTTTCCAGCTTCTCAGCCTGGCCTCAGTCAGTGGAACAACGCCAGAGGATGACGATGAGGGAGAGAATATGGGTGGAGGAGAACCCGAGGATCTAACCCTTGGGTAAGACTGTCGACTGCGAAACACTTTGCCTTCAACGGCCCTTTAATCCGGATTTCTAGGTATAAAAAGGAGAAAAAGGAAGATGATGGGCATGACGTGACCCCAACCGGGGCTGGACAACCCAATTGGAGCTACGAGGAACAATTTAAACAGGTCAGGATTGGGAGCAGGATAGCAGGGATTATTTGGGAACTTGAGTGTGGCTTCTATGGTCCTTTAAGCCATCTATTTTTTAGCTATACGAATTGTCGAGCGATCAGAAGCGCAAGGAGTGGCTGGATGATTGGCTGTCTTTTATGCATCGAATCGGTGGGTACGCGAGAATTTATTGGTTACCTTAAACAAATTTGGTACCTTTAAACACATTTTTATACTTTTCGTCTATGGCCTAGTGGTTAGAGCGTTTTCCGCATAATCTAGAGGTCGATGGTTCGATTCCTGATAGCATAGAACTTTTTGCTTTTTGAAAATTGAATGGTTTTGGGCTTTCTGAAGTTCTTAAAGATCGTCACATCTCTTACTCCCTCTCTATCACTCGCTCTTTCTCTCCCTTTCTCTCTCGCTCTCTCGCCTCGACGGTGTATAGAGGATGTTTGTGTACGACCCTTCCTTCTCCATCAGCTTCTATCAAATATCCGACTTCGCGGGGCGCGAACACGACGATGGGCAAACAGAATACGACGCACGCATACAGTGCTTATACCCATCTCTCTCCCTCTCTCTCTGTCTCTCTCTCTCTCTCGCCCACTAACCCCCACTCGACTCCAATTCCCATCGACAACCCATCAACACATACAAACCACAGCAGAAGTGGGGGCCAATATCAAAATTGTTGAAGGTTTGGAATTCTCAGGCTTATGGCAAACTAGCAGAGAATCTTAAGGAATCCTTGGGCTGGGCAGGGTAGCAGAGATTCTTCAGGATCGGCAAACTGACAGATAATCTTTAGGACGCCTCGAGGAACGAGGCAGGCCTGCTAGCAGGGATTAGAGAAAAACTCTCTCTCTCTCACTCTCTCTCTCTCTAACTTTATTTTAATTTTGGAATTGTCGCGGCCAGGGCGAGCTAGCAGCGATGCTTTAGGGATTTAACACGTCTTAACAACTTTTTTTCAGGAAAACCCGTCACTCGCATCCCAATAATGGCAAAACAAGTGCTCGACCTCTATGAACTCTATCGACTCGTCGTCCAACATGGAGGACTTGTCGAGATTATCAACAAGAAATTGTGGAGAGAAATCACAAAGGGGCTTAATCTGCCATCATCTATCACTTCTGCTGCATTCACACTACGTACACAGTACGTTACTGTACGGGATACGGTAGAAAGGGTTTAGGTACCAGAAGTATTTGTATGATTATGAATGTGAGAAGGAGGGACTGTCGAATCCCGCTGATTTACAAGCAGCTATTGATGGGAATAGACGGTACGTTTGTTTTTGGGGAGTTCATTCTCTCTCACTTTTTCTCTCTCTCTCTATCACTCTCTCTCATTCTCCCTCTCTCTCGACCACTCTCATCCTCACTTTCACCTTCTCGCTCAACTCTCACTCCCTCGCCGTCTCTCTCTCGTCCTCTCTCTCCCTCTCTCTCTCTCTCTCTCTGTCTGTCTCTCTCACTTTCTCTCCCCCACTATCTCTCTCTCTCTCTTCTCTCTCTCTTCTCTCTCTCTCTCTCTCTCGCTCTCTCTTTCTCTCCCTCCTCCTCCTCCTCCAATCCCTCATACAATACATCCCAGGGTATTCAGTGAGGGTCGTCGTAACACTGGTGCTCCATCCTTCGGTCATCCTCTCTATCCTCTCGGTCCATCCGGAGGTCCAGCCTCCCTCCTCGGCAAGCATCCCCTAGGTAAGCCACGCCCCTTTTTCAATCTCATCCCACGATCTCCCCTTCAGATTTCTTGGATGACGACTCGGGTCTTGCTCCCCAGAATCCATTCATGGCCGCGTACAGGGCTGAGCAACAGCTCATTATTGAGGCACAACAACGGCAATTGCAAAAGTGGGAAGCTAGACATAGACTACAGAATACAGGATGATACATTACGATACTACATACATGTCGTTTTTAGTGAATTTCGAGCGGCAGCCGAGGCGATGGCACGTCAAAACCTAGGGCTCGGTGCCCTGGGGCTCCAGGGGAATCCATTGGGAAATAATGGAAGGCCATCGGGAAGGGAGAGCACCTCTTCTGTTGATAGTGAACATCAAGGCATGTCATTTTTAGCTCGGGGATTCTCATAGCATTTTGCCGAATTCTTAGATATAAAAGCTCATAAAAATTTACAAATAGAACTTTTTGGTCAAAAAGCCGAGAAAAATAACAAAAAAGGTAAAAATTTCGAATTTTCAAAAATGGTTTAAATATTTGTTGTTACTTACTAACAATCAACAACTACAAAAAAACGTAACCTATTAAAGTATAACATTTTATTAACAAACAAAAAACTCCAAATCTTTTAATGCGTCAAAAGATATCTTTAAAACGCCAAAAAACCCCGCAATTTTCAGCCAAAAAAGCCCGAATCTCCCATCCAGACGAAGGTGCCCCATCGGCTACCGTAACCGCCTCAACCCCACAACCCCTCCCAGCAACCAACATTAAAATCAACAATTCTACCGGTAACTTTGGAGGCAATCTAGCACAGACCATTTGAGCATCTTCAGAAGGCGACAAGAAATCGATGGTGGTGTCAATCGAGCTGGACGGGACGACGTATCATGGCGTACTTTTCGCCAATGCCCCCGTTACCACCGAATAGCCAATTATTGATTTTTTTAAAGGCGCAGAAGCATGCTCGAAATTACTGAACTAAACGAGGAATTCAACGCGCGCACAGAAAAACAACGTACAGAGGGGCCTCTCGTAGTGGGCTTCTAAAAAGTGGCATCTCAGATTGCTTTCTGGAATTTTGGCATGCTTCTTGGCGCTGAAGGGATTCGCAAGGCAAACGTACGGATTTTTGGCTATTGATTGTTGGCACTGCGACACGAAACGCGTCAGCTATTACAAAGAAAACGCTGCGCGTGTAACCTAAGCCGCACCGCGACACGCGTACGTATCTGAACGACGTGCCCGTTGCGTGTCGCGCCGCGGAAAATCTAAGGCAAGAAATCCGTATTCATTCCTTGCTCGCCCCTTTAAAACTTTAAATTTAAAATAATGAGCTTCGCGTCTCGAATTTTCCTGAAGTCTCCTGTCGCTCCCCCATTCCTTCTGATCATCAGTCCACCCCCAAAATTATGTGCAAAAACTACAAACTATTACCACCAACACGAGATTCAGAACAAATCCGCTGAGCGCGTGTAGGAGTCTATTCGTCTGTTCTACTTTTATTTGTATTCCCATTTTCGCCTACCATTAATGCATTTAGTCATCGGCCATTCGGTTCAATTTCTAGGAGCTTTTGCCTTTTATTACACCCTCCCAGCCCTCCCAAATTTCCGCTTTATGCCGGTTTTTCGATTTTATGATGATTTACCCCCATCGATTTTCTGCAGTTCTCCCCTCAAGTCTTGATTTTCTGATACTATTTTGAGTATTTGCAAGCAATAACCTGTTCTGGATCTACGTCTCTAAAATGGGAATGGAAAATTGGCTTTTCTTTCTTGCATCGCGACCAATTCACCCCCCGTTTTGCCTGCTCGAGCTTATTTTCCCCCCGTTTTTCTCAATGTTGCCCCTTCGACCGTACCCCTGGCCCAGTCCTTTTCCCCCAATTTCTCAGTCTACGCATCGATTCGATCCCCGCCACCACCCGTGCCCCCAATGGCCATAATAAACTTTGTATTTATTGGACACATTTAAAACGCACGGGTTACATTTACACAACTTGGAATAGAGAGAGAGGGAGAGTGAGAGAGGGCCAGAGAAAGTGAGAGAAAACGACAAAGAGAGTGAGATAGTGAGCCAGTGAATTCGTTAGAGCGTCAAAAAATGGACTAATGCGTTTGATTCCATACCGGAATGCTGTAAAATCAAAAGTTATGGCAAAAGTCGTCTAAATTTTTCCCCCGGCCAAATAGAACAAGTATATAGACAAGTGCCCGGACTGCACCATTGCAGCGGCCGTCGATCTGGGGCTGAAGGTCAATCAGACGAATTAAGCCGATAAATGAAGCCATGCAACCGTCAGAAATAAAGTTAAAAAGGCGACGGATGACGCACGTTGTACATCAGAAGTCACCCGAATTTGCACGCCGGACCCGCAAAGTACGGAAACGCGCGCGCTGGAAAATGCTGTTTACTTGGTAAAATCGTCGGATTTTGACCAAAAACACAACTTTTTTCGCTATAGAAACGTGTCAAGGAGTCAATCAACTCAAAATCGCAGTGTCAAGCCTACATTTGACCTTTTTTGCGTCTTTTGGCGGTAAGTGCACATTTGAGAAAAATAGAAGAAAAACGGTTTTTATCAGCGGAAACGAATCACAATCCTCACAATCGATTGCGTCCTTAGTCGCGTCGCGTTCAATTTAATTCGCCTGCCTCGATTATTCCCCTCTAACGTCTCGATTTCCACTTTGGTCATCTCTTTTGCGAAACAGACGTTTCGCTAAAGGTTCGTTTTTCATTCTGGTACTGCTCAGTTAGGCGCGGGAAGCAAACCAAAATCCCTTGTTGTTCTTTCCGTCATCCGGGGTTTTTGCCACGCCAATTGGTAGAGCATCGCAAAGTATAATTATTAATGGCTGTTTAAAATAACGTAATATAAAGTAGTTATGGCAGAAAAGGAGGTTTCCTGTTTTATTTTACGCGTTACGTAGATTTAT